ATATATATATATATATATAAAAAGAACAAACCAAGCTTAGACGGATAGAAATCTACCAAAAAGATAGAAAACAATCCCCGCATTGGATTGTTTTCCCCTGGTACATATCTATGGATGTGGTTACATTTATTTGTATAAAAAGGGATTTTTTGAGATCAAACAGGTTTTTAAATAAAGCACGGGTTAAAAGGTTTTACATACATGGTTTTCGAGCTAATGTTTTCGAAAAGGCAGGGTTAGTATGTTTGTTTTACTTATGTTTAGACTTACTTTTCGTCCACTCACATCTTTTATGGTTTTGCGCCCTCCCCAAGCCGTGACTTGAGGAGCTTAACAACCAAGATCAGAAACTCCTTCTCCGCACGACTGCCATTGTAGGATTTTCTTTTTGTGACTTTTCTACTGTTTTTGACTTGTAAACTAACAAAATTCTTAGTATGCTCTGAATACCCCCATGTAGGGTTGGATTTGCGGCCTAAGGCCATTTGTAAACTGTGTGTGTTTTAAATTGTGTGTGCTGGCGGTACTTTATTTGTGCTTTTACTGCATGTGTAAATTTTTGGGCATGTTTGTTTTATAGGGGAGACTCTACCTAAATTTCGGTAGAAGTCTTGACCCTTTTATGCTTCTATAATGGAAAAAAGGTTATTTTTAGTAATTGGGCGCGGCATCCTATGGGTATCGGAAGGAAGTAGGATTTGACACGAATTTCAAGGGGAATTTGGGTTTGGTCCTGTCAGTCTGAGTAGAGAAAATCCTACAACTTCGGAAGCTTTGTGGGATGAGTTCTTTGGTAGAATTGACACGAATAACACGCTTTATGGGATGAGTTCAAAAGTTGTTAATAATCCCAAGTTGACTCAGGATAAAGTTCATGCGTTGCTCATCCGCTTAAGTGTTAAAGCTGTTAATGGACCGTTGTAATCTAATGGCAAGATAAAAATATCACCAAATGGGAAAAATGTTTTTGGTGCCGTTGAATGTACTAAGGACCTTTTTGAAGTAAATTGTAAGGAGTGTCTTGATGTTGCAATAACCGAACTTCAAGATCGTAGTTATAGAATGAGACGTGGACATATTATTTATGGTAGTTGCTACGTAAGATTTGAATTTCATCAATTTTACTATTAATGCGTTTGTTTTGTAGGATGAACTCTTTAAGAATGTCATTCCTAGGGTATGAGATGAGAATTAATGCATACAATCCTAGAGTTTGGAAATACTTGTTCTGAAAGTAGTGTTGAGCTAGCTGTTGGTCATCATATAAACTCATATAGGGGTTGTTTTGAGCTCAGGCACCATTGAGACAACATGGTTCCTTTCGGTTTAAGATGGCCCACACGATGGTTAATTGCTACTATAGTATTGGAGTGGTTACTAAAGAGATCGCTGAATCCGGACCCTTGTTTAGTAGTGGCTATTTTTATAGGAACTTCTGCTATCAACTGTTTGGCATAACGTTCTTGTTTCATTTGCATTTGTGCAGATTTTAATTGAAATGATAATATCTACCGCATAAACCCTAGTTATGTAATATGAATTTATTGCATCGCATGGTTTCCCTATGATTCTTGCATGCTATCTCAATGTTGGTTGAATGGATAATCCTTTGCCTTTAGTTACTTGATTTTTAATTTGAGGGAAGCCAATAATGAGAAGATAAATTTTTGCATTTGATAATTGAGCATATATAACCACTGGCGGACTCAGGAATTTTTCGACAGATATGCAATTTTTAAAGGCACAAGACTTGATCGATGAATAAGTTTTTATAAAGATAATTCTCTCCCAAAAAAAAAAAGAAAAAAAAAAAGAGACCTGGGGTGGAGGGGACGTTAAAAAAAAGATATGAATTTGATGTTTTATAAAGACTTTTTTTTATTTAGCTAAGATGTTTTATAAGGACTTGAAACGACTCCAAGGAAGACATGCATTATGCGAAGACAAATGACTACTTAGACTTCCACCTGATGGAGAAATTTTAAAGTCCAGAGACATACATTTAACCAAACGACTTGCATCTAGATCAACATCATTTTCCCAGCAAAACGACTTGACATACTTTGGATTCAAGAGTCATGTTGTCTTGTCTTAGAACTTGGTATGCCAATTAATATCAGTAGCGTTAAACCATATTTCAATTTGCAAGCCTAATTGGCAATTCTTACAAGGAAACATCAATTACGTCCAACATCCGACATTGAAAAAATTACACACGTCAATTACATTTGTTCACCATGAAGAATCTCAGCTAGTGACACGGTAAGAATTTGTATTGTTTGCAAATAATCAACTCAGTTTTTCATTTATGTTTACATTACATGATAAGACAATTTTAGCTATCGTGTCACGTGATGAGTGATATAGGCACAAATGTGGATTACTAAGCAGATTCTTTCTTACAAGGGTTTCCATCGAATTCAATGGTTCCAAGATTTGAAAGACGACAATTATCAAGACAAGTTAACATTTTGGTATCCCCACTATGAAAATTCAAGTTGCGAATTAGTCAAGTTTGGTTAAGACAAAATGAAAAGCTTAGGTCCACGTTGTAAAGAAGTCGACAATGCAAGTCAAAATACTTGGCTACTTGTGAGATCATCATGGACAGGTTTTCTCCTTTGACGCTATAACGGGTGACGAAATGTAGTGGCATAAGTTTCCCACAATGAAAATTATTCTTTCTTTAATTTTTTGGGGTTCTTAGATCTAGGTCCAAAACGATTAGCTGTCATTGGGTCTAGTCCTCGTGTTTTTGGTTTTAGATGTAGGTCCTTTGACATTTATTACTTTTTTGTTGTGTCGATTTTACCCTTTAAGGTAAATAAGGAAAACACATTGAAAATCTAAATTTAATGCATTGTTTCCTTGAAATTGAATTCCAAATTTTGAATTTTGAATTTTTTTTCCTTGATAATATTCCTAATATATAGATAAAATACAATTTAATCAATAAAAAGTAAAGACTCACATATTATACCAATCGATTAGACAAGCACCCACATTAAATTATGTACCTGACATACAGGTAAATAATGTTAATACATATAGGTATATATGTACTCGCCTTATAGGTAAGTGTTTTTTTCTTGAGTTTTCTTAAGTAGTTTTTTCTGGAGGTTCTATTTATATACATACGTACATGTCTTCCATGTAATAGTTTTTTTTTTTTTTTCCAAAGAAATTTTGTATGGATTTTTATCTCAATTGAGTTTAAAGATCCATACCAAGATATTATATGAGTTCAATTAGCTGGGTTAGAGGGTATAACTACCTAGAGTAGAGATAATTTATGGATTTAATTACCTGGACCAGAGGTAATTTATGGGTTTAATTAACTGCATACTGCATACGAGGTGTATGCATAGGTACCTTACCTATTGTTAAGGTATGAAGTTTGTTTGTACCATATCTGACCATCCACTCATTCAGTGACACGTGGGTTGATGAAACTACCCAAGCACCCAAGGCTCCGAACAATCTGTATCGGCTACCGATGATATTGCTTCAAAGCAGCGAACGGTCGATACCACCTACCAGAGTCCACAATCGGTACCCCCTACCGATTCTGCAGAATCAACCTCGAAGGGCCCGCTCGAAATATCTAAAGACTCGTGTCAACCTCGTAGGGCCCTCCCACGAGTCCCACATCGAAATTAAGTACTAAGAGCACACCAAATGCCCTCTATAAAAAGGCCCCTTCACTACAATACAGGGGTAAGACTTTTCAGCTTGACTTTTATGCTAAATACATTGTCAGTAGCAAAAGCTCTTAGAAACAAACTTACTTTGGCATCGGAGGGTCTTAGGCTGGTTCCACACCGGTTCCATGGACCTTACGAATCTCGGCTTCTTTCCATTCAGGATCAGCATCCAAGGACAGGAAGAATCTGCGTCTAACACTCAATCGATCTCTAGATCATCCACATCACTTGTAAGTTGCACTCATCTCTATCTGTTCAGTTTTTAGTGCCAACAAAGTTTTTATGAACTCTTATTACAAATTTTGATGTCGGTATACCTTGGGAAAATTTCAATTAAAAAAATAGATTTGCAATTAAATTAAATTCAAATATGATAATTAATATCCTACAAATCAATAACTTACCAGTTTTAGGAATTCATAATTTACCTTATTTATGTTTTAGGTGCATAACTCGAACAAAAAATAAAAAATAAAAAAAAGTAAATATCAATAAATTGAAATAGGCATGTAATCTTATGTGGCGCAAAAGTCAAAGGACTTGGATCAACAACAATTTCTGCGTGGATTGCACCCAAAATCTCTCCTCATAATTGGACTTATGCCAAATTTTCTATAGTTTTTTTTGGGTGGTGGGAATGGCTTGTGGTGGGTTTAGGGGGATATGGATGATGGTGGGTGGTGGTTGGTTGCAAAGGAAGGAGGAAGGATGATGGGGGCATGGCTTGTGGTGGGTTTGGGTGCTTATGGATGATGTTGGGGTGGTGGTTAGTTGCAGAGGGAGGAAGAAGGATGATGGTGATGCACACGTTTCACGTCCATATTCTGTTTTTTTTTTTTTTTTTTTTTTCTATAGAAGCGATATTTATTAAATTAGACTAAATTAGTCTAATACATGGAGGAGATTCGAATTTGAATGCAAAGGGAGCGGCTCATTGCCACACTTTGTTTTTATTTGCAATGATCTTTACTCAAGTTTAATTTTTGCCATCTAATTTAATTTTTAATTTCTAATTTCCTCCAATTGGTTACGTGCTAGTGCTTTTAAGTTAATATTTGTTTTAAAAAAAATTAATATTTGTTAAGTTATTGATAAATAAAAAACAAAATAAAAATGTAAGTTGCATAACTTTAAAGCGAATCCGTGATACTATGTTTTTAACCCAAATTTTGACACAAGCTTTAGGCATGCTTTTTATTCATTTTTAAATAAAAGTTATTCCAAAAACTTGATCAACCACACCATATTTCCATATTATTTTGACTGGTAAATATAAAAACCAAATACAATATATTCCAAATATGAGAAGGGTCAGCTGACCACTCTAATTGTTCATTGACACCGCCCCTCGGCTGTAGTATTGTACCGCTAGCTGAGTCCGGGCCGGCCAGCAAATGTTTCCGATCCAGAAACGTACGGGTCCTCTTCTCCTATGCCTGGAGATGGTGCTGGGGCGTTTGAAGAATGCAAGACACCATGGCCTGAATTTCCGCTTATTTTCTTTGCCAGGTTAATATTATTCATCTCCAGAAGCTCGCTACCTTCGTTGTCTTCTGCAACGACAATAAAAAACTTGATTAATAATAAACAATTGATAAATGTATAAATACATAAACATGGCCCTTCAAGAGAGAGATTTCTATTGTTTGCCAGAAAAATGAGGATCCCTTTAATGTGAGGCCCCACTTGGCATTGTAATTCAATAATATCTGAACTCTATTAACATATTCTCCTTGCAAAAAGTTTTTCGGTAAAACACTGAAGTTTCGTTGAATATGAACATACATAGTATGTGTTTGTGTATATATATATATATATATTTGGGAAAGAGACTAACTGGTTCTGAAAAGTGGGAAACTCTGGCAAACGCTGCTTCGGATGAGAACAATAGCACTAGGATGAAGAGACTCATCACGTAGTGAGCCCTGGGAACCATTATTCTGATAGACAGTCTGGTACAAGTTTCGCTCCTCCTTTCCCAATCCCACACCACCTTCCTTCCATTATATATAATACGCCAGTAAACACCACACAAGTTGTAGGAGTACTAGTTTCCACTGATTAGCCTAAAAGATTTGTTTTGGGAGTAATTTTGAAAGGGCTAAAAGTACTTTTGACACGGTTGATAGAAAAATTTAAAAGAACGTTTGGATCGTAGAAGCACTTTTTGGAAAAACATTTTTAGTGAGCACAATCCTAAGTACTTTTTAATGAAGTACTTGGATTTCTTATGGAAAATTTTCAACTTTTTTATGATAAATGCGCTTTTGTTACAAACGCGTCCCAAAAGAGTCCTAAAGTTAAGGTATAAAAGACGCTTTTGTCAAAAGCGAGTCCCAAACGAACCCTAAAGTCAAGGTCTTTGCGTGTTTCACAACGACCTTCCTTTATGTCAACCACCTTCCTTTACGTCAACCATAAACTAAAACTAATTCATCAATGTTTTTGTCCGTACAGACAAGCTATAAAATCAATGTACTGTATCATAAATATACTATGACTATTATAAAATCAATATACTGCAGCCCACCTAAATGTGTGAGGCTTTTATTCTACACTTACGATGGGGTACATTCAAGTTGCTAGCTATCAATTTCTTCCAACAAAAAAAAAAAAGTATCAATTTCATCAAAATTCAACAAGAAAATTCATTTGAATTTAAATGCATGAATAAATGCAAGACATTCACTTCAACTGAGGTGTAGAAAATCGATCTTTCCCCAAATCGTTTAGTCGGGGTAGACCCAAAGGACTTTGGGAGATCGACATTTTTTGGTGAATTTGAAGTTGAATGGCAATCAACTTTGGCATCCTATACCCTATGAATTTGGATATCATTAACTGATATTGAATATCTTGATCTTTCCACCGACGAATTCGATGAGTCAATTCCAGACTTTTTTATCTTTTCAGTATCTAATTTTGACTGAAGAAAAATGTATGGAGAAATCATGAAATCAACCAATGGTTTCGATGTCCTCTATATTGCATCGCCAAGGGAGGACAGGGAAGTGTGTACAAGGTAAATCTACCATCCTTTCATACAAGAAAACTGAGTTCTGGTTTGTAACATATGCTTCAGTTACTGCATTGACCGTCTTCAGCATATCGTAGTGTGCCGTGAGTCCATAATTTTTTGCATAAAATACTGCAGCCCGTTGTTCATCTTACAAAACATATCCTTACAATCTCATATAAAAATCAAATACAATCACATACAATAAATAAAGGAGAGTTATTTTTGTCCGTGTAGTTTACTGATTTTACCACTTTGGTCCCCAATTTTATTAATTTTAACCCCGTAGTTGTAAATCCCTCACAATCCCTTACATGCTGAGAGTAATCATGTAAACAACGTTAGCCAGGTATAAGTTTCTCTCCTCCTTTGCAACATGAATTATGCCTAATCTATAATATGAGTAAGAAAACCTTCTATACTATTAGTTGTTGAACCATGCACTTAAACAATATTGTATTTTATTTCGTTAAGTTTTCGATCATATTTAACATTATTCAACAGCCAAAATGCAAAGAATGAACATCGCATTTATAAGACGATGACTAATTAACATACCACCTTACCTCTTAGAAAGAAAAGTGAAAGAGATGTCTCAAGCCATCTCAATCACAAAAACTTGTCGATCGCTGGATATATTGTGGAAAACGGAATCAGTGCATGTAGAATAATAGCTATAAATAAAGCCATCAAATACACGATTGTATACAGAGACAAAAATACAATGACATATTTATTATGCTGTCTAGCTTTCCTTATCTCGTATGTCCAGCTGTTCTCATCACCAAACATTGCTTTTGCTTCTTCTCTTGAAGCAGAGGCTCTTCTCAAATGGAAAGCTAGCTTTCAAAATCAAACCAGGAATAATCTGACCTCATGGGCTTACTATCCAAAAGTAAATACAATCCCATGCAACGTTTGGACTGGTATTTCATGCAACACTGCTGCAAGTGTCAACAGGATCAACCTCACCAATTCTGGGATGCAAGGTACGCTATATGAATTTCCATTCCTGTCCCTCCCTAATCTCGAATACATTGACCTCAGCTTGAACCAACTCTTTGGTGCCATCCCATCTCAGATAAGTTCCCTCTCCAAACTCATCTATTTTGACCTTTCTTATAATAAGTTGTCTGGGAAAATCCCACCAGAAATTGGTCTTCTCAATAATCTTCAAGTCCTGCACCTAATTGGGAACCAATTAAATGGCTCAATCCCTCAAGAAATCGGTCAGCTTAAGTTTCTTAATGAGCTTGCTCTGCAAACAAACAGTCTAGAAGGTCCAATTCCGGCTTCTCTTGGTAACCTTTCCAATTTAGCTGTACTGTACATGCAGGACAACTATTTAACAGGTCCCATTCCTTCAGATTTTGGAAATTTAAAACACCTAACCATGATGAACTTGTTCAACAATACACTTTCTGGTTCTATCCCTTCAGAATTAGGAAATTTGAAGTCTCTAGTGGAATTATGCATTCAAGACAACAATCTATCTGGTTCAATCCCGACATCTTTAGGTGATCTGAAAAACCTTACCATTCTCTATCTCTTTGAAAATAAGCTTTCCGGCGTAATTCCAAAAGAGATAGGGAACTTGAAATCTATTGTGGAACTAGTGTTGAACCAGAATCAACTCAATGGTTCCATCCCCACTTCACTTGGTGACTTGAGCAACCTAGAAAAGTTATACCTCAGTGATAACCAACTTTCTGGCACCATCCCCCAAGAGATGGAGAATCTCATGAAGTTGACTGTGCTGGAACTCGACAATAACAATTTTTCTGGTTATTTGCCCCAAAATATTGGCCGACCTGGATCACTACAAAACTTTACGGCACATAACAACCATTTCATAGGTCCAATCCCCAAAAGCTTGAAAACTTGCAAGAGCTTAGTGAGAGTTCGTCTTGAAGGGAACCAACTGACAGGCAATATATCTGAAGGCTTTGGTGCCTATCCAAACCTTCAATTTATTGACCTAAGCCACAATAACTTGCACGGAGAAATCTCACTTCTCTGGGGACAGTGTCCGCAGTTAGCAGCCCTTCGCGCTGCGGGGAACAATCTTACTGGTATCATACCACCTGAGATCAGCCATGCAACCCAAATTCAAGTACTCGATCTTTCTTCCAATAGTTTAGTCGGGGTGATCCCAAAGAACTTTGGGAGATTGACTTCTTTGGTGAATTTGATGTTGAATGGAAATCAACTTTGGGGTCCTATACCCTCAGAATTTGGATCATTGACTCATATTGAATATCTTGACTTGTCCACCAACAAATTCAATGAGTCAATTCCAGTCATTTTTGGCGACTTGCTCAAATTACACTACTTGAATTTGAGCAATAACAAGTTCAGCCAAGAAATTCCATTTCAGCTGGGGCAGTTAGTTCATATGTCCCAACTTGATCTAAGTCACAACTCACTCAAGGGTAGGATACCATCAGAAATGAGCAGTATGCAAAGCTTGGAGAAGTTGAATCTTTCCCACAATAATCTTACCGGTCTCATTCCAACAACGTTTGATGGAATGCATGGGCTGAATGACATCGACATATCCTACAATCAGCTGCAGGGTCAAATCCCCAACAACAAAGCATTTCAAAATGCTCGAATGGAAGGGAATAACGGATTGTGTGGCAATGTTGGAGGACTAAAACCCTGCAATCATTCTGTGGAACATAAGCGAACCTCAAAGAAGGCGTTCTTAATCATTTTCCCTATCTTGGGAGCACTTTTACTTGCTTTCCTGGCATTTGTTTTGATTGGAAGAAGAAGAAGTAGAAGAAAGCAAGAACAGGAAATCGAACAGAGCAATATGCACAAAAGCTTTTTCTCAATATCTAATTTTGACGGAAGAAAAATGTATGGAGAAATCATGGAAGCAACCAATGGTTTTGATGTCATCCATTGCATCGGGAAGGGAGGACAAGGAAGTGTCTACAAGGCAAAGCTCCCATCAGGCAGCATTGTTGCAGTGAAGAAATTCCATCAAACATTTGATGGTGAGGAGGCATCTCGGAAGGAGTTCTTTAATGAAATAAGGGCCTTAACTCATATACGACACCGAAACATTGTAAAGTTTCTTGGCTTTTGTTCAACTTCCCATCACTCGTTTTTGGTCTATGAGTATCTGGAAAAAGGTAACTTGGCTGCAATCTTGAGCAACGAGCATGAAGCTAAAAGGTTGGTCTGGAGTACAAGGGTGAGAATCGTAAAGGGTGTAGCTCATGCGTTGTGTTATATGCATCATGATTGCTCACCACCTATTGTGCATCGAGACATAACAAGCAGCAACATTTTGCTGCATTGTGACTATGAGCCTTGCGTTTCGGACTTTGGCACTGCTAAGCTTTTGAATCCAGACTCGTCGAATTGGACTGCTCTTGCAGGCACATATGGATATGTAGCACCAGGTAAATTACTAAAAGATAGAAGTTTTTTCTAAAAAATTTAATTCTGGATAGATCTATATTAATGGTGTGCTCTTCCTTAATTTGCACGCAGAGCTGGCTTATACAATGAAGGTAACAGAAAAATGTGATGTTTATAGCTTTGGAGTGCTGGCACTGGAAGTGATTATGGGAAAGCAACTAGGCAATGTCGTCTCCTCCTTTTCGTTTCCATCCACCACCTATGCAAACATATTGCTCAAGGATGTGTTGGACCAACGCCTTCCCCCTCCTACACCTCAACTTCAAGATGAACTCATAACCATTGCAAGGCTATCAATTGCATGCAGACATTCCCATCCAAAATCGAGGCCAACAATGCACATGGTTTCTCAGGAGTTATCGTTCCAAACTGCTTCTTCCGATAGAGGATCAGATGATATTACCCTTGAACAACTCATTACAATCTGAATTGCGTGTGACATATATAATTTAGTCATTTGAGTATTTCTTTTCATATCAACTTTAGCATGTGTATTGTTCTGTTTTGTATCAGAGTAAACTGGTTTGACCAGATTATATCCTATTTATTACCACCTTTTGTAGAAAATTCACATCACATTTTAATTTCTAGGACTAAAGCTTGTGCTGAATTTAATTTTCCTAACGGCTAACGCAGCCCATATAATGATGCAATTTATGGATTTGAATATGTTATGCTCTACCAATTAGAATTCATAAACTAGCAATCTTAAGCTTCAAAGACTTCAAATGATGAATTGAATCATTCACCAAATTTGTTGGTAATTTGAAAGTACTAGAACATTTCTTTTGCTTCTCCTCTTGAAGCAGAGGCTCTTCTCAAATGGAAAGCTAGCTTCCAAAATCAAACCAAGAATAATCTGACCTCTTGGGCTTACTATCCAAAAGCAAATACAATCCCATGCAGAGCCGGTCTTGGGTTTTCTAAGGCCCACGGCAAATTTCTAAAGTGTGCCCTTTTAGACAAATTAAAAACTAAAATTAAAAAAAAATTTATCAACAAATTAATTTTATTTGGTAACATTTTTTAATTTTTATAAAAACATAAACAATAACAATAAAACTAATGAACAAAGAATAGTAAAATTTGGATTTTGAGCATTTTTTCTTTAACTCGAAACTTCAAATTTCCAATTGTAAAGAACAAGAATCTCTGTTGAGTTTTTGCTAAAACAAATAAAAAAGAAAAATTAGTTAACAAAGATGTCTCTTACAAAAATCCTATTATACGTCTATTTATAAAAAAGAATAACACAAAGAAAAGACTTTCAAATTGCTAAAGCTTCCTATGTGTGTTGCTGCCACTACCAGGTCTTTTTTGTGTGGCTAAGATAAGAACGTTTGTTTGGTTTTTGTTGTTGTTAAGAACTCTTTGTTTTCATATGTTTAGTTTCATTAATTTTTGTTTTTTGAAATATTATATTATATCATTTATATTTAGTTTTCTAGAGAATCTCAAAGAGTTTTGTGCTGCCATAATTAATGATTACGATGACTTCCTTCTAGTACGGTTTGTGGGGTTTGTTTTTTGTTAATGTAAATACATAGGCTGAAAAATCATATTTTTGTGCCCCCTCGAGTTTTGGGCCCTGGGCTATGGCCCTGGTCGCCCTGGGCCGAGGCCGGCTTTGATCCCATGCAACGTTTGGACTGAAATTTCATGCAACACAGCTGGAAGTGTCAATAGGATAAACCTCACCAATTCTGGGATACAAGGTACGCTATATGAATTTCCATTCCCGTCCCTCCCTAATATCGAATACATTGACCTCAGCTTGACTGTTTGGTTCCATCCCATCTCAGATCAGTTCCCTCTCCAAACTCATCTATTTTGACCTTTCTTATAATCAGTTTTCTGGGAAAATCCCACCAGAAATTGGTCTTCTAAATAAACTTCAAATCCTGCACCTAATTGGGAACCAATTAAATGGCTCAATCCCTCGAGAAATTGGTCAGCTTAAGTTTCTTAATGAGCTTGCTCTGCAAATAAACAGTCTAGAAGGTCCAATTCCGGCTTCTCTTGGTAACCTTTCCAATTTAGCTGCACTGTACATGCAGGACAACTATTTAACAGGTTCCATTCCTTCAGATTTTGGAAATTTAAAACACCTAACCATGATGTACTTGTTCACTGTGGGAACCGAATTAAATCAAAACTCTAGGTTAAATAATTCTTTTCATTTGGGGATTATTTGATCTAATTGGGAGTTACTCAATTTAATTGGGAGTTACCCAATTAAATTGGGAGTTACCTAATTAAATTGGGATTGATTTGGTTCCTACCACAATTAGGGATTTGATTTAAATCAAATAAATCAAATCCCTAATTAATCAAATCTCGCCTAATCGGGGAGGAATAATTCCTTTTCATCTACGGAATTATTCCTCTGAAACCCTAGCCTCCAAGGCCCCTATAAATACTTAGCTACACACAAGGGTTCAGGTACATCTAAATTCCTACTGAAACTCTGCATAAATTATCCCTCACAAACCCTAGCCACCATATTCTTTCTCTCTCTCACACAAGGCTCCGGCCACCACACACGGCTCTGGCAACCACACACGGCTCCGGCCACCAGATTTTCCTTGAAATACCCAACCTAACTAAGGCATCGGAGGGCCTTTGGCTAGCACCCCCCGGGTGTGGTCCTTTTATTGCGATCTATTCTGCAGGGAGAAGGAGACGGCGACGAAGGAAGAGGAATCTCAATAGAATATTCTCATGAGACGAAATTTGCTCCCACAAATTGGTGCTTTCATTGAGAGCGCGAAATAATACTCAAAGCGTGCTCTAAATCCATTTTCCACACTTTTTTCCAATCAACCATGGTTGATACAAGACGTACAAAGACTAACACCACCACCACGGGCCCATCTCATGGTTTCGTGGTGGAAACCTCACTGCAACCGCACAGAACCATGGCTGCCAACACCTTGCGGCCGCCTCCTAGCGCTTTGCAGCCACCCCCAACTGCCGGAATTGCAGAACAGCCACCGCAGACAGCTGCTGGAATTGCATAACAGCCGCCACATGGTCCTGTGACCTGCATAGCCTTGCAGCCTCAAGCGCTGACAGCCAGAGCTGCTCTGCCACGCCATCCTGCCGTCGGAACACAGAAGCAACCACACCACTCAGCTGCCGGACTTGCTGCACAGCCCCACGGCTACTTCGACATTGTCCTAGTCTTGGAGCAAATCCATTCTCTCCCTCCTCTACCACCACACTTGACGTATGCACCAGTGTACGCTTCTAATGGAGCCCTAGCCCATATGCCATTGGGCCCGACGCACACCTCTGGTCAGGTGGATCTTAACTCACGGGTTGATCAGCTCACACAAAGGGTCGACGATCAAAACAACCTGATTGGCCGGCTACTCAAGCAGATCAACTTGAACCAAGGCCCTAACCTTGGACCCCGTGACTAGGAGAGGAGGACACACGAGCATGCCAGTGGGCAGTTCGAGAGATCCTAGGCTGGTCAAACAGGGATAAACAGGCAGGGGAGAGAACGAGATCTTTTTGGCTAGACACAGACGTCTGCAAGTCGTACTCTGAGTCGGTCGACGATCCGTTTGAGGTTAGGTCCAAGGACCAATGTACACGAGAGGCTGGGCCCACAGTCCAATGTCTACGCTCGCTTGGGCCCACAAGGAAGTATCCAATCTAGGCTGGGCACACAAGGAGCTCGAATTCGTGAACAATTGCGTGATGAGCGCAACGATCGACGCTCACCAGCCCACTCGAGAACCAATACACGGTGATAAGCCGCAAAGGGATCCTCACAAGCTCAATCTCCCAATCTACCCCATGGGCAGAGCAACCAAGGGGATTGACCCTTGGGAGATGAGGAGGAAGTTAACCAGCGGCGCTCAAGGCACCAAAGACATCGACCCGAGCGACCAGCCCTGCGGGCAAAGAATGTCGAGAAGTTAGTGAATGACTGACTCTAAGGTCTCCAACTTAAAGGAAGCACGGAGGGGGCCCTGCGCAAGGAAATTGATCGAGTCGACTGCTCGCCGTTTACCAACGAGGTGGAATGGGCTCCGCTGCCAAAGCGATTCACAACGCCATCCATCACTCCTTTCAAAGGAGACTCTGACCCTGAGAGCCAATTGAGGCACTTAAAGAGCGTCATGATCCTGTACAAGGCAGACGACGCCTTGATGTGCAAAGTGTTCGCGATGACTCTGCGAGGAGCAGCTCAAGACTGGTTCCACACTCTACCATTCGCGTCTATAGGCAACTTCAAGGAGTTTGCCCTCATCTTCACAAAGGAGTACACCTCCTACAAGACGGTCAGAAAGCATGCCGACCACTTGTTCAACTTGCACAAGAAACCAGACGAGTCTCTTCGAGACTACCTCAGACGGTTTAAGGCTGAGAAGGTGAACATCATAGGATGCAATGACCAAGTTGCATCCTCAGCTTTTAAGAAGGGCTTACCAACCGAACACGAGCTATACCGTGAGCTGGCCATAACTCCAAGCCAAACCTTGGCAGAGGTCTTCGCGACGGCAAAGCGCTACGCACTTTGGGATGATGACCGTATTGCGGCGAAGAGAGCTAGCAAGCAAGCTGATCACCCGACAAGGCAGGCGAGCCCAAAGCCAGAGACAAGGGCAGATCGCGACCCTAAGAGGGAGGCTTGGAAACAGGAACCTTCACTGAGTTCACTATCCCTATCCACCAGATCCTAGCACAAGTGAAGGACAAGACGTGGGTGAGAAGACCACCAGCCATGAGGGGAGACCCCTCTAGGAGAGACACCAGTAAATACTGCGCATTCCACGGGGAGCACGATCATTACACAAACAACTGCAATGCCTGGAAAAAAGGACCTTGAGGAGCTGGTCAGTGAAGGCCATCCAGCAAATCGAGGATCATGATGCGGCTGCCAAGGAACCTCCCCAAAAGGTCATACAGATCAACATCATTCTAGCTGACTCCCAGGCGTCCGGGCTGACCACCAAGGAGCGCAAGAGAAAGATCGCGCATGCGACTTATGTCTCCCAAGTCACAATGGGCGTATCAGTCATTGCAGATACACCCATCATCGGCTTTCAGAAGAAGGACTTGATCGGGCTTGATCTCCCGTATAATGACGCCCTAGTAATCTGCATCCAAATTGAACAAGCTATGATCGAGCGAGTTCACGTGGACGAAGGTAGCGCAGCCAATATCCCGCAACTATCTGTTATCCAGCAGATGGGATTAGAGCCCAAGATCAGCAAACTTGCCAAATCACTCACCAGCTTCAATGGGGCCACATCAATCACTATTGGAACAATTGACCTAGACGTCCACTCACCCCCAGTGGTCTACTCGCAAACCTTCATGGTCATCGACGAGGTCTCTCCCTACAACGGAATCTTGGGCCGACCATGGATCAGCAATATCGAAGCCATCACGTCTGCTCTACACCAGAAGATCCGCTACCCCATCCCTGGGGGCGGGATCAGGCAGATCAACAGTGACCGAGCCATGGCAAGGAGATGCATAGCCCAAGGGCTCAAGAAGTGCAAGCGGTTGCAGTTCACACCAGTAATGCAGGCTACTGACATGGCAGGACACACTCCCTGCAGAGAAGCAAGCCCGAACGGGAGGGAAGTTGCTACCTCACAATAGTAATTAAGGAGCCAGGATCAAGGCGAGGGAATCCGCCGGAAGACTCCCCTGAAAAGGATTGGAAGTCTGAGGATGACGTTGAGTTAGTACACCCTGATCCTCGCCTGCTAGACAAAGAAGCGCAGATCGGCTCGCGCCAGAATCCAGACGATAAGGAAAGTGACGAGGGAATCCGCCCGGAAGGCTCCCTTGAAGAAGGTTGGAAGCCTGAGGAAGACATTGAGTTAGTACCCCCGATCCTAACCAGCCAGACAAAAAAGCGCGGATCGACTCGCGCTTAAGCCTAGACGAGAAGGTGGAGTTGACCACCTTCCTCCAAAACAACAAAGACATGTTCGCATGGTCGCCATCTGACATGCCTGGAATCGACCCGAACATCATCTGCCATCGACTCCATGCCAACCCCGCTAGCAAACCCGTGGTGCAGAAGAGAAGCAACTTCACTCCCGAGTGAGTCGCGATAATTGAAGCCGAGATCGATAAGCTTCTAGCTGCCGGCTTCATTGAAGAGGTCTCCTACTCAGAATGGCTGTCCAACATTGTTTTGGTGGCGAAACAAGAAAAGGGCAAGTGGAGAGTTTGCGTCGATTACACCGACCTCAACAAAGCCTGCCCTAAAGACAACTTCCCACTGTCGAGAATCGACCAGCTCGTGGATTCAACTTCCTGCAATCAGCTGCTCAGCTTCATGGATGCCTACTTAGGCTATAACCAAATCCTGATGCACGAAGATGATAAGGCGAAGACCTCTTTCATCATCGAGAGAGGGACCTACTGCTACAAGGTCATGCCCTTTGGGTTGAAGAATGCCGGAGCAACATACCAAAGGCTCGTGAATAAAATTTTCAAGGAACAAATCAGCAAAACCATGGAAGTTTACGTGAACGACATGCTGGTCAAAGCCCCTAAGCGAGCAGACCACATCAAGAACCTCACTGAGGCATTCAGCCTGCTCCGCCAGTATCGCATGAAGTTGAATCCAAGTAAATGCACGTTCGGTGTATCGTCCGGCCGGTTCCTGGGATACCTAGTCACTCAACGAGGTATCGAGGCGCACCCACGCCAAATCAAGGCAATTCTCGATATGAAGTCACCATCAACAGTAAAGGAAATTCAAAGTCTGACGGGCAGAGCAGCGGCCCTCAACCGATTCCTCTCGAGATCTACCGACAAGTGCAGACCATTCTTCAAAGCTTTGAAGAAAGGACAAAAAGAAAAATGGGACGAGGAGTGCGAAGAAGCTTTCCAGAATCTAAAGACTTACCTCACTTGTGCGAAGAAGCTTTCGAGATCTACCGACAAGTGCAGACCCCTACTCTCAAAGCCAGTTCCTGGTGAAGACTTGTTCGTGTACCTGGCAGTGTCCAACTCGGCCATCAACTCAGCTCTCATCCGAGAAGAACTGGGGGCCCAACATCCGGTATTCTACACGTCAAAAGCCCTTCTCGATGCAGAGACTCGCTACCCAAAATTGGAGAAGCTCATTTTGTCCCTTGTAGTTTCCACGAGAAAGATGCAACCTTACTATCAAGCTCACCGAGTCATCGTCATGGCCGACTTTCCTTTGAGGTCAATCCTCCACAGCCCTGACGCGTCTCAACGACTCATGAAGTGGGCTATAGAGCTAAGCCAATACGACCTCCTCTACCGGCCGAAAACTGCAATAAAAGCCCAGGCTTTGGAAGACTTTGTCGCAGAATTCACGTCATCGGCCGAAGAAGAGAAGCTGGTCAGCAAAAAAAAGGAAAGTTCGAGAGCAGACAAGACCTCCGCTGAACCTGACCAACCCAAAGACATGTGGCAGTTCCGTGTAGACGGAGCATCGAACCAAAAAGGAGTTGGAGCAGGCGTCGTCATCATCACCCCGGATGGAACCTTGTTGGAGCAAGCTATCACGCTTGGCTTCCCAGCCTCAAATAACGAGGCAAAATATGAGGCATTGCTCGCTGGCTTGCGCTTGGCGAAGGAGCTGTCAATCAAGAAGCTGGCCATCTACTCAGATTCCCAGCTGATCACAAATCAAGCCTCAGGAGAATACATGGTGAAGCACCCAAGGATTATCATGTACCTTGACAAAGTTCAGGAGCTATTGAAGGCGTTTCCTACCTTCACCATCCAACAAGTGCCTCGAGCAGAGAACGCGCACGCAGATGCACTGGTAAACTTAGGATCAGTGCTTGATACCCAGTTCAGACACTCTATCCCGGTCGAGCACCTTGACCAGCCAAGCATAGAAGAGGCAGAGCAGCCAAACCTGATGCAGATCGACGAGGATCCTAGCTGGCAAGACTCTATCATTGACTACCTAGTTAACGAAAACTTACCCAAGGACAAGTCTGAGGCCAGAAAAATCAAACAGAAGGTTGCGAGATACTACATGAAAGGCGACATGCTTGTTTGCAGATCATACTCTGGCCCTCATCTTACTTGCATCAAGTACCCGCAGACACTCGAGGTTCTCTGTAAAATCACGTTGGGGGCAGATCGCTTGCCCAGAAGGCTCTCAGCATAAGCTATTTCTGGCATACCATGGGCCAAGACTCCAAAGAGTATGCTCAAAGATGTGATCGATGCCAACGATATAAGCCAATCCCTGGCTTGCCAGCTGAGGAATACCATCTGCATAACAGTCCATGGCCATTCATGCAGTGGGCCATTGACCTGGTGGGGCCTATGCTGACAACACCTGCCAACAAGGAGATGATGATCGTCACCACAGATTACTTCACCAAATGGATCGAGGCAGAGGCTTTATCCTCTACCAAGGAAGCTGATGTCGAATGGTTATCTGGAAGAACATCATCTACCGATTCAGATGCCCGTAGTCGATAGTCACCGACAATGGTACACAGTTCGTGGGCAGGTAGATCACCGCATTCCTTGCGAAGTATGGAATCAAACAACACCTGTCAACTCCCAGATACCCCCAAGGTAATGGCTAAGCAGAGTCATCCAACAAGATCGTGCTGAACTGCCTGAAGAAAAGACTGGAAGGCGCAAAAGGAAAATGGGTCAACGAGCTGCCAGGAGTCCTATGGGCTTATGGCACAACCAAAAGGAGATCCACCAGCGAGACACCATTTTCTCTAGCCTATGGGACAGAAGCAATCATCCCCCCACACATCACGGTCCCTTCCATGAGCATTGAGGTGGGCAGTCTTGACCAAAACTGCAAGTAGATGAAAGTCAATCTTCATCTGCTCGAAGAAGAACGAGAAAAGGCCATTGTTCGAGTTGCAGCCTACCAGCAGCAACTAACGTCCTACTACAATAAGAAGGCCAAGATCAGACAGTTTCAACCTGGGGACCTTGTGCTCAGAAAGAGTTTCATCACAGCACTAAGGCAAGGGTCAAAGAAGATGAAGCCCAACTAGGAAAGCCCCTACGTGATCAGCCGACCTGGGGGCAAAGGAAGTTACACCCTCGACACTCTAGAAGGAAAAAAAATTTCAAGACAATGGAATGCACACCACATTTGGAGATACTATCCATGAAGCCCTTCGCTCACCAGCTGTGCTCCTAGCAGGCGACGGGCCTCCCTTACTACCATTGAAGACAAACTGCTTTCGATGTTATCTATGTTGTTCATTACTTTTATTCAATAAAGCGATGTAGTCACACCGACATCAATACAAGAGCAAGCTTTTCAATGAAGTATTTTTTCGAGCATTATGTCCCACAAACATACACATGCAGGCGACCAGCCTTATCTCCATTGAAGGCAAGCTACTTCTCGAGTACAAACTTCATGGAGCCCTTTTTC